TTGAAAAAAGTCGGTAAAAGGCGTATAATCCGAGGCCTGTAAACATATAATTTTCATTATTATCATTTAATATGTAATAATATTCTAATAAATTAAATTATTATTGATAACATTAATCTTTAATTTCTTTATAACAAACAATTAAATACTCAATTTGGCGCGCTTGCGCGCGTTTAATTTTGCTACTAATCAAATAATACATATAAGTTAAATATTTAGCTGAAGATCATAACGTTAATTCCAATTTAGATGTCGAAAAGAGATGATAAATCAAAATAAAAATTAATTTAACCTTTTTCAAACGTTAACGATCGCGTTTTTAAACGTTTATTAAAGTTTCTCTGAAATATCTTAATATATTGCTGAAAAATTGAGTTAAAGAACCTTCAATATTAATTTACACTAATTTTTTATTAAAAATAAAGTTTGTTATAATATTACAAATTACAAATTTAAATATTTTCGAAATTTTCTGTTTTATAAATTAAATTATTCTTGACATTTCGATTTATCATCTCTTTCCGACATCTAAATTGGAATAAAACTCATGGATTTTGAGGCAATTTTTTATGCTCTTTCTATTGGTTATGATTAAAATTTTAACAAACTTTAATAAACTGGTTTTTGTATTCGTTAAATAATTAACGTTATATGTTCTTCAGCTCAATAGACAAATAGACTATTTTGAACATAAATATATCAGTATGTACAAACGTACAGTAATACCCCGGACTTACGCGATGGGTGGGACCGAGCGACGACCGTGTAAGTCGAATTCACGTAAATCGGGGTTTAAGTGTCGCATAAAATAAATACAATAATTTAGAATTTAGAAGAAATATGTTTAATAAAATATCAAGTAATAAAACTATTTACATTTTTTATGAATAAAAACAACATAAAAAAAATAATAAATTATTTATTATTTAATTACGAGTTAATTCGCGCGGCCATAAAAAAACCGCGTATCTCCGAATTCGCGTAAAATGGGGTAGCGTAAGTCGGGGTTTTACTGTATATATTATTTAAATTACTTCTTTGCTCTTATCTTAAATTTCTACAATTATCAAAATAAGCTTTTTTTCCTGCAACTCAAATTAAAAATTAAAATTTAGTCAACTACCAGGGTGGCAATAATTTTTATGATTTTAAATTCCCGGTCATTTCCCGGTCAAAATTTTGTAAATAATTAAATTTTTTCACACAAAAAATCACTATGTTTCTAAAAAATTCATAACTTTTTAATTTTTTAATATTAATTCTTCTAATAAATTTTAATAATGCACTACAAAAAAATAATTAGATACTTATTTTAAAAATACATTTTTCTGAGAAATTAAAGCAACAAGATATAATAGACAATATAAATTTTTAGAATATCTGAAAAATTCCCGGTTTAACTATGAAATTTCTGGTCATTTCCCGGTCACATTTTAAATTCCTGGTAATTTCCCGGTCATATTGCCACCCAGATTACATTAAATTTCAAGAAATAATGCTCAAAAATCTGTTGTACGAATAATAAAAATCATTATTACAAAGTATCAAATTTTTCTAAAAAATATTCCGCAACGTCTTTGGACGAAATATAATGAACTCTAATCCACAATATTTTTATAAATGATAAATAACACTGTGTTACAAAAAAAAATTGAAAAAAACTTTTTATTCGACCTAATGAAGGTTGTAGGTAACAAAAAACTAAGTAGAATGGTATATTATAAATTTCCCTAACGGTCATGAATTTTGATTTTAGAGCCAAAAAAACGTTTTTACGTATATTTATTACTAAAAACCTTGAAACTTTTTTATTTTTGTACCGATTTAAAAGTTTTTTTTTCATTTTGAAGTAGGACTTTTTAACTCACATAGTTTTGTTGTTACAAGAGAAAAGTTTCAAGATAGTTCGGAAATTGTAATTGTTTCCTCAATTTTTCAACTTTAACTGATATTTACGGCATTCATTACATTTTAAAAAAAATTTCTTCGTGTAATATTCAAGCGTACTAAATTCTGCGTCGAAGAGCCCTATTTGAATATATTTATTTAAAAATTGACTGATTTATTGCAGTTTTTCTAAAAGCAAGATCGGTAGCAAATTAAAGTATTTGTCAATTTTCCTTAATTTTTCATTCTTAATTGTTTTTGAAGTTTTGATAGTTTTTGACCTTAGCTTAACTTTATTTTATAGTATTTATTTTTGCTGCAAATCTCCCGGAAAATGTTTTTTCATTTCTATAATTACGAAATTGGTATTGATTTATTGTATAAAACATTTTTTTAGAAAGTAGAATAAATTTATGGACCGTTGTCACATGATAATCAAAAATATTTAAATTTTTATCAAAGAAATGGATATTCTAATACAAAAGAGATTTAGATCGAAATCACTTGAGTGATTATTAAAAATGAAAAAATTGTTTTGTTCATTATAGGTACTAAATATGGAGTAGAATTTTTATTTTTCATCCGATTGTGCTCTATTTGGATTCAAAATTTTCATAATTAAATAGACTATCGATAAAAAATTTTAAACATGAACTTTTTCTATTTTTTGGATTAGAAAAAATTAGCAGAAATTAGACAAATATCTAAAAATCATCAAAAATTTGCATGAAATTTGAACTTTGATCAATTATAAATCTGTCAATTTTCATTGGATTTTATTCTACAATGGACGGATCCAAAGGTAATTTAATTACCTTTTCAACGTTATATTATTTATTATACATGGAGTAGCTGATTTTCCTACAGGTGAATTTAAGTGACATCACACTTCGAAAATGTGTTTTTTTAGATTCTGCAAAATAACACGAAGAAAAAAAATTCAAAATATGTTTTTCTTACTCAAAAAACACCTACTAATCGAAAAAAAATATTTCGTTCGATTGGCAATATCACTGTAAATTGGTGTTATATTGACTGTGCTTTTCTCTTTCACGCGATTTTTATTGATTATATTTCTTGATGAAATCTTTCATCTCAGAAAAGTTTAAATGAAAGTGCAAAAATTAATTTTGCTTCCTCGTGGAGGAAGCTTTGTAGTCCTTTCGTTTATAAAAATGTTCAAAATGGCGAAAACAAATTTTTCTCTATATAGAAACATGTTATATGAGATCCTGATCAATTGTCCGGATGTGTGTATTTGTGTGTGTGTGTGTCTGTATGTATGTGTGGACCTCTTTTTTGTGAACACGATAACTTTAACAGGGTGTCTAACAAAGATTGAGAAAAAAATTCCCTGACTTTTCCCTGACTCCTCCCTGACATTTTTTGATTTTTCCCTGACTTTTTAATAACCTTATTTCTGCTTTTTTGAACAAAAATATGGTTACTGACATATTTAACAATAAATTAATTTCTAATGGTAGTAACAAATGGTAATAAAAACCATTCAAGTTTTTTTAAATTTAAAAATTTTTAAATTCACAAAACATTTTAATTTTTGTAGAAATTTTCTGAAATTCCCTGACTTTTCCCTGACTTCCCTGATCGTTAGACACCCTGTTTAACAGGTTTTAATGGATTTGGGTAAAATTTGGTAGGCTTATTTATCACATTAATATCTCAAAATAGACAAAAGGATTTTAAAAAATACCCAAAAAAAAAAAATTTATCTTCTTTTTTCCAAAAATTTTTAAATAGAAAAATTTAAGGTGATATAGTATAATAAAATCGTATTTCTTACATCAAGACAAATCGATTGGTATATATAAAGTATAGATTTGATTGAAATTTAAAGAATTAATGAAAGTTAAAAAATCTAAAATTCACATTTTAGCTGAAAAATTTTGTATTCTCAAATGTTTATATTATTATAGTATTTATGTATGTTTATTTCAATGTTAATGCTTTCTCCACGAGGAAGCAAATTTTTTTGCTGATCGTAAAGAGGAAGCAAAATGTTCATGTAATGAACATCTGAATTTACAACTTGTTTAAGTTGTTATTTACATTATAATATAACATAAGCTTTAAACGCATTGAACTAAGTAAGTATATTACAGTATTAAGGGATGAAAAAACATGAAAAAATTTGTAATATGGCGGACAAACTTAAAAAATTCCTCATAAATTGATTAAATTTGCTTTTATTTATTTTTTTATTTCAGTATTTTGTCTCGCATTTGCAAAAAAACAGACTTAACAATCATACAATAATTTTATCTTATTCCTTATGATTTCTATAACAGAAATTCACTTGAATTTTTGATTTTTGTTAATTTGGTTAATAATGACAAATTATTAAATATGAAAACTCAGGGTAAATGGGGACTGCTTGTTATTATTAACCAAATTGACAAAAATGAAAAATTTAAGTAAATTTCTTTTATAGGAGTCGTAAGGAATAAGAAAAAAATTTGGTATGATTTTTAAGCCTGTTTTCTTTGAAATGCTCGACAAAATACTGAAACTGTTTGACTTTGATTTTCAATTTTTATGCATTGAGCGATAACTTTTTTTATCTTGCTGCTAATTGGCAAGGTAAAAGATTGGCAATACTCAGAATCTCTGTATGTGATCTGAGATTAAAATATTGACGTTTAACTTAATTTTAAAACTGTAAATTAAGCTCCAACACCTCTTGTCCCCATTTACCTCAACTGACCCTACTTTAAATAAATTAATATTTTTTAACCCGACGAGTAAGTGGTGTCAAATTTTTACACGGACTATGAGGTTGGGCATGACATGCCCTGTCTGTAAAATTTTCTGTTTAAATTTTTACATTAATAAATTTCGTTAAATTATAGTATTAATAATAATAATGAAATTTCAGATTGTACTCCGTTATCACAAAAATCGCCAAATAATAAATTTGAAGGGAAAACTATTAATTTGGAAAAAAGTTATTTGCTTTGGACTCCGCTATTTTAACCTAAAATTTTATTATGTTAGATTTGTAAACAATCTATAACAATTGTTATAAACGTGTTTTTTTCTATAACAACATTTTGATAGATAAATCGATTTCCAGGCTACATATCTTAAAAAATTACTTTCGAAACACGAACATCACATTACTATCTTCTTTTAACATTTAACTCCAGCAACTCGAAGCAATAGAGTTGTAGAGCGATATTCTAAACAGTACGTCGGGGTATGGCATACTCGCCGGGTTAACAATTATTTAAAAATCTATTTGTTGTTTTAGGAATATAAACAAATGTGTCATTTTCCACTGAATTTCATTTTGTATTTTCTTAAATTAATGTTAATTTTAATTAAAAACTTATTGTATAAACCATTAAATTATGATAAAATAAACAAAAATATCTAAAAACAAGGTTATATTTACGTTCAATGTCTAAAAATGGCGGATTGTCAAAATTTATTAGGGCCAACGTTCTTCGCAAACTATTGTGCGTTGGCCTTATGTAAATTATGTATTAAGGCCTTTCTCCAATATGATTCCAAAAATGACAACGTGAAACGCCGGACTCAGGATGGAGTTACATGTTGATGATGTAAATACAGAATGCAAAACCGAAAATAATATGAGAGTGAAACGGACAGGGATATATCACTATCCTTTTCACTCTCATTATTTTCGGTTTTGCATTCTGCATTTACATCATCAACATGTAACTCCAACCTTAAAGCGGAAAGCATGAGATCGAAAGAGATAGTGACGTCATGGGACGGCGCCTTAAGTTGAGAATGAGTTATCTAACCAAGAAACCATGTTAGAAAATTATTTTCATAGTGGGATGATTTAAATATCTATTTTAAAAAATAATTATTAATGAAAGATATAAAGTTGTCGAATATGAAAAAACATTTGCCCACGAGTTTACATTACACTCGTGGCCAAATATGCCTACACTTTTTTGCATAGAGATAATATAAATAGAGTGGAGATGGTCTGTATAGAGGCGTCCGTTTGATAGAAAGAGAACGCGATTTTAGCACCAGTAGGTGTCTCTCTTGCGCTGGTGCTTATTGAAGGACAAATACTGGTGTTAAATCTTTCTTCTCTTTCCAACCCATTCTGTTTATGTCAGGACACTTCCCTCTTACGCAGCCGCCTATACCTTGTCTACTCTATTTATATTATCTCTATGCTTTTTTGTCCTTTTCTAACGCACTTATTGCCATGACAACACTAGAACACTAGATTAAGGTGAAACGTCCCAAATGTTTCATGTCAAATAGGCCGTGTTTTGACTTTTTCGGAGTAGGTTAACCATAGAGATAATATAAATAGAGTAGACAAGGTATAGGCGGCTGCGTAAGAGGGAAGTGTCCTGACATAAACAGAATGGGTTGGAAAGAGAAGAAAGATTTAACACCAGTATCTGTCCTTCAATAAGCACCAGCGCAAGAGAGACACCTACTGGTGCTAAAATCGCGTTCTCTTTCTATCAAACGGACGCCTCTATACAGACCATCTCCACTCTATTTATATTATCTCTATGAGGTTAACCGATTGCAATGAAACTTTGGAATTTTATTATATATAGTAAGACTAATCTTTAACGTAAATTGCAGCTTAAAATATTTGTTAGTTTACGAGATTTGCAATAATAACAAAAAATTTTAAACTGCTTTATCTTCCGTTCTAATAATCGGATTGAGGTCTACTTTTTTTAAATTGTCAAGGAAAATGAGAGGAAAAAATCTCTTTCAGAACAATATTTTATAATTTTACAACTAAAAAAATTATTAAATAATAATTGAATAAATTTCACGCGACAATCTAAAATTCAATCACTTAAACGCTAAAATAATCTTACCTTTGTTTTCTTTAATGTTCCAAAGAAATCCAATCGTAAATGCAAGTTTAACTTGGTTAATTTTAATAATTTACGAGTATAAACAATTGCGATTTCTGCTAGTTGACGTGCAGACGACATTGCACACGCAGCATTTTCACGTAACCAGCTGACGTGATTCGTGAACTAAATTGGTTACGTGAGAATGCTGCGTGCGCAATGTCGTCTGCACGTCAACTAGCAGAAATCGCAATTGTTTATACTCGTTAATTATTAAAATTAACCAAGTTAAACTTGCATTTACAATTGGATTTCTTTGGAACATTAAAGAAAACAAAGGTAAGATTATTTTAGCGTTTAAGTGATTGAATTTTAGATTGTCGCGTGAAATTTATTCAATTATTATTTAATAATTTTTTTAGTTGTAAAATTATAAAAAATTGTTCTGAAAGAGATTTATTCCTCTCATTTTCCTTGACAATGTAAAAAAAGTAGACCTCAATCCGATTATTAGAACGGAAGATATAACAGTTTAAAATTTTTTGTTATTATTGCAAATCTCGTAAACTAACAAATATTTTAAGCTGCAATTTACGTTAAAGATTAGTCTTACTATATATAATAAAATTCCAAAGTTTCATTGCAATCGGTTAACCTACTCCGAAAAAGTCAAAACACGGCCTATTTGACATGAAACATTTGGGACGTTTCACCTTAATCGATGATCGATTCGATTCGAGATTTAAAATACAGAAGTCGATTACAACTACTTAAAATTGAATTACCCATCCCTAGTTGAAGTCGCACTGATTTTGTCTGGCGAGTTTGACGTTTTTCATTGTGTGTTGTGTTTGCTCTTGTGCAAAGAACTGTTCATTTTGACAATTAGAAATGGTGACATTAAATATGTAGATTCATGTGGAATGTCAAAATGTAGGCCAAGAAATGTGTTTTTGTGCAGGAGTGCACAATAAAAAGAAAACACAAGAAGTCGAAGAAATTACTTTGTTCTATATGCCATCTGACAGTGAATGACTTCCTTCTTCCTCTTTATATCGATCCCACTCTCAGATTACAATAGAATTTTCGCATCTCACTTGTACGATTGCTGCACTTTGTCTCTCATGATTCTCGCGCGCGTTTGATCTGTTCTACCTAATAAATACATTAACACTCAATTATGGAGATTGTCGGCGATTACGAATACAATCCCAAGGACCTGATAGGTCATGGGGCCTTCGCTGTTGTCTACAAAGGCAGACATAGCAAGGTGAGTACCAATTTCCTTTTCTTTGCACTTGCCTTCGATCTGTGTCTGCAGATTTAACGTATTTACGCTTCATTTTAAAGAATTTTTCTCATTTTTATTTTCTCTTCATTTCAGAAACCTAATTTCGTTGTCGCTATCAAAAGTATCACCAAGAAAAGTCTGGCCAAGTCTCAAAATCTTCTTGGAAAAGAGATCAAAATATTGAAGGTTTGTAAATTTTTCAAAAATTTCTCTCGATTTTCTCCTCGTTATCCTCAAGTTAAATATATCTCCCTTTTCAAGTGCAACAATTTTTCACTCGAGTCGTAGAAAGCAAACAAGATAAAAATATACACACTATCAGGCTTCGAAGTACCAAACTTTTTTCTAAAAAGTAGAGAAAATTTGAATGATAGACGATTCTACGCAAATAACCTACACATTACATTTAAACAAGTGGATTTTATAAACTCGATTTAAAATTATTCTACACATTTGAAATAAAGCCAATAAAATTTATTTAATGTCTTCAATTTCACAGTGTTAAATACTTAATGAACAAATTCTATAAAATAAAATATTGTAAATCTGTTTTATTTCATTTTAAATTTTACTTTAGTAAATTGAACAATAGAAAACTACGCGATTAATTGCATCATACAGACTTTGGATTGAACGATTTTATTCACTTTTTTTATACTTATTTTTATAAAAGGCGACTTTTTCGACATTTTTTACATTTTTTACTACTTTTTTAAACAAAGTACTTTTTTTAAATTAATAATTCTTTAGCGTCCGAGAGAATATATTTAAAAGGGTAAGTAAAAACGATAACATTCGGACAAATGGATTTTAATTAAGTTTTCTCCAACGTTTCGAAATCACACCGATTTCCTCTTCAGGGAGTCTAGCAATACAAAATTATAAAAATTATTAAAAATTAAAAACAACAAACAAAAATACAAAGAAATTAAATTAATAAGAGACGAAGATTATTAAAAAACAAAAATACAAAAGGCAGTCAGAATATTAAATAAATAAATAAAAATACATACATACAAAATTATACAAGAACAATTAACAAAATATAAATCAATAAATAAAATTAATTAATATATAGAAAAAGAAAAAATTAGAAAATAAATAAAAATAAAAATAATATGAATACAATAAATAAAATAAATAAATTAATAAAACAAAAAACTTACACACAAAAATAATCCATTCTTTAAGAAAAACAAAAATAAATAAATAAACATAAAAATAAATAAACAATTAAATAAATAAATTGACAAATAATTCAATAAGACAAATTTTAAAAAGTTGTGACATTTTTTTATTATACAACACAGATCTTGTTGAGATATTTTTAATTTCAATTATTTAACAAATTTTTAACTAAAATTCTTCTCTAAATGAATTATTTTTTACAATTTTACTGAAATTCCTCACATATTCAGTTATTTTAAACTATTTTACAATTTAAAAATTTTATGAAAATTCAATAATTCTTTAAAAATTAAAAAAAAATCATCAATTAAAATTATCAAAAATTTCAATTCAAAATCATTTGAAATTGAATTATTTTTAAAAATTTCAATTTAAAATTTAATTGTTTCTAAAAAATTTCCATCTAATTTATTGGAAAATATTTTAAAAGTATTTTACAGAAGTTTCAATTCTGTAAAATTTAATTATTGTCTAAAATTTGTTTGATCATTGAAACTAAAAACTGCCAAAACTTTTAATTCAAATAAATTGCTTAAATACGATTTCAAAAAATTTTTAAAATTGAGCTTCAAGAATATTTTTTATAAATTAATTCTACTTAATTAAAATTTTGAAAATTTATTTTAGTTCGATTCTGAAATAATCGAAATAAATTTTCTTGATAATATTCTTATTCAGGAATTAATATAATGAATTTAATATCTAGTAACATTAGCTATTTAAAGTAAAATATTTATTAACTAATTAAATTTAATTAAAATAAAAAATTGAGTTTTTCGTCTTTTTTTGGGAATGTAAATCGACTAAAACGACTTCTTTTGCATCTTAAAGTCGATCCTACAGGGTTGCCACGGGTCAGGGAAATCAGGGAAAAGTCAGGGAATTTCATCAAATTTTATCAAAAGTCCTGGAAAATTTAAAAATTTGCTAGATGCACGTATTTAAATGCACATATGAGACATTTTATTTATATTTTTTGAATAATAATATATTTCAAAACGTGTTTATGTCAAAATGTTAATGCAATAATAAACTTTAACTATGAAAATTATTATAATATAATTATTTCTTATAATTTACCACCTTTTAGACTTTTTTTAAGGTCAGGGAAAAAGACAAAATTCTGTCTGGAAATCAGGGAAAAGTCAGGGAAAAAAATTTTCCAATATGAGTGGCAACCCTGTCCTAGGTCTGAATTTTGAAAAAATCCAAAATTATAATTTTTTGATTTAAAATAAAAATAGCTATAAATTTTATAAATATTTATAAAATGCAAACTTTATATTCATCATACGATGTATATGCCATATTGATGCCAGGAATATAATTTTGACAATAATTAATTAAAATTTATATATATAGAATAAAGTTATTACAAAAAATACAATAACCGATTTTTTTCAAAAATTCAGAAAAATGATGATCAAAATGATCAAAAAATAAATTTTTCAAACTTTGAAAAAATTATAAAAAATAATGTTGTGGATATATTTTCCGTTTAGAGTCATACATAGCCGTAGCTAGCTCTTCAAAAATTCAATTATTTTGCATATTTGGAATCTAAAAATTCTTAGTAAAATTAAATATTTTCAATAAAAATCCTTTTAAAAACGGCTTCAGCAATTAAACTTTTTCAAAAATGTTAATTCAAAGTCTTCTGAAATTCTATTATTTTTTATTTTTAAAATTTGTATTCATTAATTCATCGCTAATTTAATTATTTTTAAAAATGTTAACCAAATTCATAAAAATCCAATTATTTAAAATATGTTTAATTATTTAATTAATTTTTTTTGAATATTCAATAATTGTATGTAATTTATAAACAAAAAATCCATTCCATTTCAAAGAAATTTCTATTTAAAATTTCTTAAAATTCAATTATTTCTAAAAATTTTAAATATTAAAAAATTCTCTTCCAAAAATCAATTATTTTTAAAATTATCTAAAATTCTTCCTCAAATGAATAGTTTTTGATAATAATCAATTGTTTCAATTCAAATATCTTTTATCAAGTTCTAAAAATTCAATTATTAAAAACATTTTTAGGAAACAATTCTTCAATTTCTTATAAAGTATCTTATTATTTAAAAATAAATTTTTTTTAACCATTTGAACTTCAAACTTTGACAAAATTCTGAATTCATAAATAATTAGCATTAATTAGAATTGAAAATTTTGTTTAAAAAAGTCATATTTTTTTATAATGCTAAAATTTTTGCAATTCTTGATTTGTTTCAATTCAATTTTGAAATATTAGGTATCTAAATAAAATTTGTTGATAAATTGAATCGACGGATCGTAGAAGGGCATATAGGCCATGCTAAATACATTGCGTATATGCCCTTCTACGATCCGTTGGTTCAATTTCTATGTAATTATTCTTAAGGAGTTAGACCCCCGTGTGGAAAAGTCGACTGGGCCCCAATCCTAAACATTTCCCAAGGTTGGGAAATCCCAGCTGGGGCCAGATTGAGTTATTCCATTTTTATTTACAATTGTTAATTAATAATTATATAAATAATTTAACAACAAAAGAGTAAATTAAATGAATAAATATACTTTTCTTTTAAATAAATTAAATTGTATTAAAGATGACGACTAACAAACAATGTATATAGTAAAAAAAGTAAAAAAAATATTTATATAATTTAAAAATTAAATAATAGGCAATTACACTAAGTGTATGTATTAGATTTTCAAGTTTTGATACAACTAATAAATTAAAATCTAGAAATAACGCAAACCTATGAAATAAACAAAACTGCGCACGAGGGGAATCGAACCTACGACCTACGGACTTATAGATTAACGCTCTAACCACTATGCTAACGACGTGTACCTGCAGACAAGTTTTAATTTCTCAGTATCATTTATATCATATTATTATAGTAAAAATATCACATATTTAATTTCATTTATTTTAATTTAACATTTTTACCAGTAATAATTTGGATTAATAAGTACCAAAGTTTAGTTGTCGTTGAAGTCAAAATTTTGTTAACAGTTTTAGTTTGTTTAAATAATTTATTAAATTAGAAAATTATGTGCAATTATTATTAATAAATTGAATAAAAATAGGAAATAAATTATTGAGAATAAATAATTATGAGAATTTTGCCCATATTGGCTTTTGGAAAAATCTCCAAACGGCATATAAATTAAATATAATTAACTAGTTTTATTATTTCTCAAGTTTTATTTATTTATTTATAACAGAATATTAAATTAAATTTCAGTTTGGGAATACTTTGGGAAATCCCAGTTGGGGCCAGGTTGGGTTGACCTAAACTTTGCATAAGTACAATGAAAAACAAAAATTTTGTTGAGTTTTTCACAGTTGCGCTGTTTTGTATATTTGTTCAGCATATTATTTAAATAATAATTTAATTAACTTAATTCTTTTATTTCTTCATTTTTCAAACTTTGGGAAGCCAAGTTGGGCCCAGATTGGCGCCCAGTCTCACTTTGGGCGACTTTGGGAAGATTTCCACACGGGCCACTGTGAAGACCGAAAATCAGGCCCATTTTTAAGATTTTTTGTCAAGAACTAAAAATTATTTTTATTAAAAAAAAATTATTTTATAAAAATAAATTGAAATTATTTTCAAAATGTAAAAAAATTAAAATGGCGGCGCTGCCAGTGGATCTTTAATAAAAATCCTTTTTTTATGCAGAGGTGTACGGCCAGTAGAAAATCTTTTTCAGTTTTTGACTTAAAACAAAAAACTAAATTTTTTCTTAATTTACAACTTAAAATCTATAGAAGTACGTAGGTGATTTTGAAAAAACCGATTTTTGTGAAAATGGCACGTGTTTGATCAAAATTTCGAGTTTTTTGGTAAAAATTCTGTACAAAATTGTTAATAAAAAAAAAGTTTTTGATAAAAAAAAACCCCTACGTACTTCCATAAAGAATGTTATCTTTAAGCTGTAAACCAATTTTTAGCTAATTCCATTGTCATTTTATCCAGAGTTATTAACATTTTAAAATTGAAAAGTTTTGAAAAACCTGACTTTATTTCATTATTTAGTTAAAAATCTTTAGGTAACTTTAAAATTATCGTTACCAACTTAGAGAGTATTTAAGAACGAATAAATTGACCTATTATTTCACCTTTTATTATAAAATACTGCAAAGTTATTGATGTTAGAAATGTATCTTTGCAAACGCCCAGAAACTACAACTTTAACACCTTTTTTAAAATTGTCATAATCCTAAATAAGTTTCCATAAATTGATTAAAAAATCTTCATGAGGATTAACTTTTCACAGCTATCAAAATAAACTTTTTTCTATGTAACTCAACAATTAAATTTCAAATTCCCAGCTAAATAAGTAAGATTTTATAATGAAAAAAGTTCTAATGATTTTTTTTTGATTGCAGGAGTTGACGGAGTTACATCATGAAAATGTTGTTGCTTTATTAGACTGTAAGGTATGTGACTGACATTTACTCAACATTTATTGAAATTTTTTAAAAATATTTAATAATTTTTTAAAGATAATAAATTTACAATTTTACAATTTACTCTAGTTTTCGTTTACTATTTTTCTTTCTCTTGCAGGAATCTCATCACAATGTCTTCCTAGTTATGGAGTTTTGCAATGGCGGAGACCTGGCTGATTATCTAGGCTGTAAGTTACAAAATTTCGAATTCTTAAAGATTTTTCTGACAAAAAATAAAAATTTTATTCGTTTTTTAAAACAGCTAAAGGGACTTTATCAGAGGATACCATTAGAGTATTTCTCAAGCAATTAACTGGTGCAATGAAAGCTTTACATGCTAAAGGTGTAGTTCACAGAGATCTTAAACCGCAAAATATTCTTCTTAGTCATAATTGTGGAAAAGCTTGTCCTCAACCTCATCAAATAACACTAAAAATAGGTAAATAATATTTTTCAAGACTTCCACATAAAATTCTGAAAACTCGTAAGTTAATATTATTCTCATTGTAGCGGACTTTGGATTCGCGAGATTCTTACAAGATGGAGTGATGGCTGCGACTCTTTGTGGTTCTCCGATGTACATGGCACCGGAAGTCATTATGTCTTTACAATATGATGCAAAGGCAGACCTGTGGTCACTTGGAACAATCGTTTTTCAATGTCTGACGGGTAAAGCTCCTTTTCAGGCCCACACACCTCAGGCGCTAAAACTTTATTACGAGAAGAATGCCAATTTAGGTCCAAAGTAAGCAAACAGCTTTGAAAATTTTTATCAAAGTTTTCATTTCCTACATTACAACGTTCATTTAACAGAATTCCAGCTGGAACATCTCCCGAGTTATCTAATCTACTGCTGGGTCTCTTGAGACGAAATGCAAGGGATCGCATGTCTTTCGATGAGTTTTTCAATCACTCGTTCTTACAAGGACCTCGAGAAAATCAAAGCCCAATTCCAGTTGAACTACCAGCATCACCTGGAATTTTGACAGTTCCAGAAAGAGTTGTCTTAAGATCAGGACCTGAGACAAATAGCCCATGCTCCAGTCCTGAAGATGACTTTGTCCTTGTGCCGAGCGACCTGAGTAGTGACGCTGACAACAATCCCAATCCACAACTAATCAAGTATTTAAATCAAGAAACATTTCACATTAGTAGTTTATGTTATATTTGAGTATAATTTTTGAAATAATTTTTCAACAGATATACCAAGCAAAGCAGTCGCGAAGCAGTCAGTCCTCCTCGACCTTGTTTCCTGCCAATTTCAGAGCCTATTCCAGTACCTACACAGAGAAGTGCTGCTCAGCCATCATCTCCATCAGCTTCTGGCAGATCAAGCAACAATGTTATTCCTCGATCTCAGCCAATCAGCATGAAATGCAGCGTCGATTCCCACAGAACTCACGCTCCTGACATTGGCTCTCTAAGTCCACCCAGTGTACAGTTTGTCATTGGCACTCCTCCAGGAAGAAGGTTTTGTATCTAGAGCCTTGGAAATGATTAGTCAACTTTTTGGGATATTTGTAATATCTTTTTTTCTCTTTTCAGGTTGAGTGAAACACCTCCACCTCCCAACACTTGGCAAGTGAGTCCAGTTGCGAGGCATTCTCTCAACTCTACTGGAACTTCACCGTTAAGAAGATCTTCTGGAAATAACAGCGCCTCGTCACCTCTTCTTACTGGACCTTTAGCAGTGCTGGGTTCTCCTACTGCGAAAGCTCTACAAGACAACAACAACACTCTACGACATTCACCTGTCATACCCTTTGGAACTAGGGCAGTCACATTGCCTGAAATTTCAGGTAATATTAAATATAACTCTTCTACTATTTATTTTATTAAGAGGTTTTGTACATTTATTTTTAAGACTTTTTTTTCTCAAAAGTTTTTCTTGCACTCACAAAATCATTACTCTCACCGATATACCCCTACATAGGCTTAGTCTACCATAGAGAAGTTTGCCTGTATTTGACAAAATATATTCTCAAACAATTTGTTATTTTCTTTAAAAAAAAAATTAAAAAAAGATCTTTTGAATTAAAAATTTGGATATGACATGTTATGTTATGTAGAGAACGTACAGTCTCCAAGATAGTTTTGAATAAAAAATAATACCTAAAGTATTTTTTTTTTTTTTTGGTAACAGATTGTTTGATATTCAATCGCCATATTAATTTGTCTTAGGTCTAATTGCTGACACGAAAAAAATGTTAGAAAAGTTTCTAGTAATTGGATTAACAACAACTAAACGTTTGATTTGTATTTTCAGAGGCAGGCAATTTTCAGAGTTTCTTTCCTGAACTTAATCAAGGAACGACAGACGATAGGCTGCTAACATTTTTTGCTCCTGAATTACCAGAGGAAACTCTTCTTGAAAGGGATCACAATGAAATTCTAGCGAAGCTCAATTTTGTCGTTGCACTATGTGAATGTGTCTGCGAAGTTGCGCGAACTAGAGCTGGTCCCTTGGGAGCACCTTTGGGTGCTATTGAACAAGCGAGCAATGCTGCTACTCGAAGAAGGGCCGAACAAGTTATTCTCTTGGTTAGAGCACTTCAGTGGCTCAGCTCTGGATTAAGTCTCGCGACACAACAGCTCAAAGCAGGCAGATTACAGCCAACGGCCAACGTTAAAGAAGGTAATTTTCCACTGCAAACTTGTTTACGAAGTGGGCGAAGAATACTTTCAAAGTTTATTGATACGTAAAACTATAATTTGTTTCTTGACATGTGTTACCAATTTTATTGTTTTATTTCAGTTGTCAGTACAATGAATGAAAAGTTTAGATCATGTTTGGCTGAGTGTAAACAATTGAACAGCGCCGGTATTTTACGTCAAACTGGGGCAACTGCAGACAAAATACTATATAATCATGCTATTCAAATGGTAGTAATAACATTGATAATAATAAAAACTTTTGTATGAATTTTTATAAAATTAATATGTTATTTCAGTGCCAATCGGCAGCGTTGGACGAATTATTCGGAAATCCTGCCGAATGTTTTCAAAGATATCATACCGCGCAAATATTATTACATTCTCTGTCACAACACGTCAGTCATGTCCAAGACCGAGCTCTTCTCATCAAATGTAAGTGAAAGAACTTTTCTTTACTTAGTAGAGTTATAAATAACTTTGAATGGGTTACTTAACAAAAACGATAACATTCGGACAAGTGAATTTTAATAAAATTTTCTCTAACATTTTGAAATCACACTGATTTCCTCTTCAGATATTCTAATAATACAAAAAAATTATAAAATTAAAAACAAAAATACAAAGAATTTAAATTAAATTAATATGAGACGAAGAGTAATAACAAAAACAAAAATACAAAAAGTAGTTAGCTAATTAAATTAAATAAATACAAAAAATATATATGATGTATTCCACGCCAAAGTGTAAGTCCATCTGCAATTGCATCTCCGATTTTTTTTTCTTTTAGTACTAATTGAGACTAGCTTCCATGAATTTTATCAAATTTTTTTAGCAAGCCGTTTTCAAGTTATGGAATTTTAAAAATTGGAGAATTTTAATGACTTTTAATTTTTGAATGCTCATAACTTCCTTAAAAATGCATCAATTTAAAAAGTCTTTTTTTCAATATGTGTGTTATTAAACTTACTTTTCAACAAAAAAATCGAAAAATTTTTTTAAACGATATTACTATCGAATTTTTGAGTTTTAATGATAAAAAGTCATTTTTCTCATTTGACGTACTGATCGATTTTTTTCAAAATTTTTTCAAAAAAACTACTTTTTACGAAACTTTTAAGCCTAGCCCGATAATGGGCAAACAATTTTTACAATATTTTCGGAATTTTTCAACAAATTTTTAATTTTTAATTTTTTAAAAATATTTTTAGTTTTTTTTATACTTTTTACTTTTATGTATTTTGATGCGCTGATAACGAAAAGCATAGTGACAATACCCAAAAATGTGATTTTTATGGTGAAAACCATAAAAAAGTCCCAAAATTTATGGTTTTTTTCGTTTATTGGGTAAAATATACAAAGTTAAAAAAAATGTATTTTAATAAGATTTAAAAGACTTTTTAAATTGATGCATTTTTAAGGAAGTTATGAGCATTCAAAAATTAAAAGTCATGAAAATTTTCCAATTTTTAAAATTCCATAACTTGAAAACGGCTTGCTAATAGTAAATCATATATTGGCAATAATTATTTTATTTCTTACGCGTAAAATCATTTGCAATAACATAAACAACATTTGTCCGAATGTTATTGGTTTTGTTACGTAACCCATTCAAATATTTTCTACTCGGAAGTTAAAGAATTAATAATTATTAATAAATAATTTATTATTTTAAAAAATAAAAGTCATGTTAAATTAAATAGTAGGGGATTATAATATAAATTTCATATTCATGACATTAAAAGACATTTTAGTTATTTGTATAACACAGCTCTTTCTGATTGACTTCATATTGGACTGTAATTTATCAATTAAAAGTTTTTTTTATTTATAAATCAATCTAAAATTTGTTCAGAAATGTAATGGTTTTGTTAGAATTGTGAAATCAAGATTCGCAATAGTGAATCGCCGTCAAATAAAAACAGCGAATATATATTCTCAAATTAAATTATATTATAAATTGGATATCGAGCGGTTTTCTATATATTTTGTTCAAATTTTTTTTGTCGAGTAAAAAAAGAAAGTTTGGTTTAAATTTTTTTTAAACATTCGATACTTTAGAAAATTATACTCAAAAAACTGAAAATTTGTTGATTTTTTGAGATTTAGCCATGTCTAGAGAAAATACTACTGGACCGATTTTTCTAATACTCAGTAATAGTGTTTGTTGGGTAAAAATCTCGATATATGTTCGAAAGAATTTTGATTAATTAAATATTTTTCGAAATTTTTAATTTTTTTTACAAAAAATAGTATATTGTGCATCTAGGGAGGAAAATGGTTGATTTCTGCAAATACACGAGACGGAAATCATTTTCCTCCCGAGTTGCACATACTATTTTTTCTAACACACATACCGAAAGTACATAGATTAAAAATAAAGAATGTTAATTTTTCTAAAAACGGTATTTTATTATTAAATTTTAGCGAAAAATATAACTTTTATAATAAGTCGACTACATTGAGATTAAATTATGTTATTACTGATCAACAGAATTGACAGAATGACAACAAACGTACAGAGACACCAAGCGGAGAAAGTGTACACTATTGTTTACGTGATTATCGATTTTAAAGAACCCCGCACCATTTACATGGGAATTTGGGGTCCGATGAAATTTTCTGCAACTTTGAACTTTTGTAGTTTTTGACCTCCTGAACAAAAAATTTAAATGGCAAAATTCCAAAAAATGGACAGATTTTTTAAAAATTGAGCTTTAAGTTTAAAAAATAGTGTTAAAAGCGAAAAAAATTCAAAAATGAGTAAAACCAAAAGAACTAAACAAACTTTCTTAAAACTCGCTACTCGGGGGTTTTCGGGGACGCTGATTACGAATTTGATGTGAATTTTTGAAAATCCAAAATGTCCGACGATTTTTTTAAATACATTGAATTCCCTTAAATCTCGTTACTCGGGGGTTTTCGGGGTCGCTGATTATGAATTCGATGATAATTTTTCAAAATCCAAAATAGCGGATGCAGACTGGCGAAAAAAAGTTTAAAAATTATTTTTTTTAACGAGTTTTAAGAAAGTTTGTTTAGTTCTTTTGGTTTTACTCATTTTTGAATTTTTTTCGCTTTTAACACTATTTTTTAAACTTAAAACTCAATTTTTAAAAAATCTGTCCATTTTTTGGAATTTTGCCATTTAAATTTTTTGTTCAGGAGGTCAAAAACTACAAAAGTTCAAAGTTGCAGAAAATTTCACCGTACCCCAAATTCCCATGTAAATGGTGCGGGGTTCTTTGATTCGATATATCGAAATATCAACATTAAACTTAAACTCGATATTTCGAATCGATAGTTTGACAGTAAATTCAATAATATACTGTTCTTGTTCTTCTTAATGTTCTATAAACAACAGAAATAAAAATTGACGTTACGAGGAGGGAAAGTAACATTCCCTCCCTGTCAGTGACGTCAGCGGGAGGGAAAGTAACTTTCCCTCCCGCTCGCCGGGAAAGACATACTTTTCTCCCCCTTTACAGGTAAGAAATGGTGTACTTTCGGTGCGTGTGTTAGAAAAAATCATTTTTTGATATTTAGCCAGGCCAGGCCTGAACAAACACATCTTAGATGCAAAAACTTGCACCAAGTAAAAATTATCTTTAAAAAAACTGTTCAAACAATTTATGAAATGAAAGTCTGCCAAGTAAAATATATGACTAATATTTCTTATGCAGTAGATGTAAATATGAACGAATTTTACACTGTTAACATTTATTTCCTTGGGTTAGATAGATATATACTTTTTTACTTTTCCTGTTTTATGTGTTACACACATATTTAAAAAACGTAAAACATATTATTCATTTGTAAATTTAATAAATTACATTAAAGAATTATTTTTTTACGTAGTCATATATTTTACTTGGCATAATTTCATTTTACATATTGCTTGAACAGTTTTTTCAGAGATAATTTTTACTTGGCGGAAGGTTTTGCATCTAAGATGTTTTTGTTGGGGTTAAATTTTTTTTTCTATTATTTTCCACCTAAATATAGTATCAACATTAAAAGAATCGTAATTTTTTACAGATAAAGATGCTGTCGAAAAACGATTATACGTTTTACAGCAGCAAGGTTTCATTTACGCAACCGACCCAACGTAGCACAAGTGCAAATCCACAATATGATGCAGTGTTCTTTCCAGACCCTATAGAAATCTTTTACCTTATAAGAAATTACTTATAAGTGAAGAAGAATTTTTAAAGAATTGATTATTATTTGTTAAATTATTTGATTTGACTATAATGAGTCAGGTAATGTCCTGAATTATTTGATTTTCAAAAGTATACTAAATGCGCTACTTTAATTAACATTAATTGAAGGCATCAATGTTATGTACAATGGAAAATACTGAAATTTTGCATATTTTTAACTAAAATTTATCAGAATTTTACAGTTTATAAGTTTCATTTGTTCCATACATTTAGAGTAGAAAGTATTTGTAAATCAATTATCATGAATAATTATTATTTATTCACGTTGGCTTGTATGATTTAACAATTAATTATTGTTACCTAACTGTAATTACCTGTATACTGTAATGTACTCGTGATGTAACGAGACTGACCTTTATTTTATTTCCTATTAATGATGATAAAAAACACCCGGTTAACAAGGCTGGAATATTATGTGATTAAAAAAAATTAATTACATCTAATCCGGAAAATTTTTTTTTCTTTATGATTCTGCGTATAGAATAAAAAATAAGTACTATAGAAAATAAGTTAAATTCTGTAAAAATATACATATTCCTTTTAATTCCCTTTTGCGAAGAATGAAAAGAATCGATTTTCTCGCTACAATCACGTAAATGTAGAAGTAAATTCACAACCTGAATTTTTTAAAAATCAAACTGAAAACTAATAAAATGAAATTGAAGAAAATCTAAGATTAGAGGAAAATCGGATAGCCTTAGACTTTATTTTTTTAGGTACATTGGATGTCATGTTACTTTTAAGAGCAGAATATAAAGTTTCGTGGCGTTTTCAGAAAATAAGAACTGCACAAAACATGTATAGTTTAGTTTCCAAAAAAGTCTCCAAAATACGTTCTTTCTGCTCTGCTCTTAAAATTTACAACTTTCCGAAAGTACATTCTTATTATTTATTGAATATTACAGATCTAGCCTGTAGTAAAACGTTTAGAATAGACAGAGTTTTTTTAAGAAGATTATTTTTGGTTTTTAATTTAATTTCTGTGGCTACCCGGCTTTTCTCTATTCTCTATAACAGAATTAGCAACTAACACTATTTCGCTTATGACATTGAAAGAAATTTTACAAATATTACATCAATTCCACATTAAAAATAAAAAATTGTAAACGTCAACGATTTTATAAGGAGCTGCTTGTAATTAAAAAACGTCCGAAATGTATTCCCTTTAGCGGATTTAAAAATCTCCTATTTGAAGTTTAACATAAGGAAACATTTTGAAAAGGAAAATTATTCGAAATACTGAAAGAACAGTAATAAATTTATTTGTTTTCCATGTTCTTTACAATTTTTAATTTTGGAAATTGAGTAAATTTTCCGAATTGAATTAAATACAAAAATTGTTAATTTTGAAGAATATTCAATAGTTTGATTTTATTAAATTCAAGTCTTCTTACTGGATACGTATACTAACGGGAGATTTACCTTAAGCAGAAACTCATTGTTTATTAAAGGCGTGCAATGTAAAATCTCCAGACAATGTGTTAACAAAAATGTAGAATATAAAACAACATTTACGCAACAATAAACAATAATTATAAAAAACTAATATGTCTACAAGGTTGGTTAAATTATTTTTCCTTCTCACTTGATGTAGTGGAGGATTCATTGTTTTCTCTGTCTATCACATAATTAAGAGCTGCTGCAAACGAATTCCATACAAAATATGGAATAACCAAATAGCCGGCAATTGGATTGATTTTGTAAAATGCAACACCCATTGCAGCCGTTGATCCCCAGAGAATAATAATCTCATACAAGGCCTAAAATCATTTTTACATATTAGTATAATTGTACAGGAGAAATGTAATTTTGACAAAAAGGAAGAAAATATTCACCCATCTAATTTTGTGGGCTCCGAAGAAAATTGGTGTCCAAGACCAATTCAGTGCTAGGTTACACCCGTAAATGGACAAGGGTAAAGCTGCTCCTTGAAAGCCATCTCCATCTCTGTAAACGAGATATGACGCATAACCTATGGAGCAATAAATACTAGTCCAAGCTGGTCCAAACAGCCATTTTGGTGGAGTCCAAGTAGGTTTTTTTAGCGACTGCAACATTAAATTAAATAACATTTTCTTCAATGAAAGAGTAGATATAGGGTAAAATTCTTGTAGCGAAATAAGTGAAAAAAAAAGTTGATCGGATCGGGTTGTAACTTGCACATAGTTTAGTGCTAGGGGTGAGTACTTTAACCACGAAGTATTGTTAGGATTTTTCAAAAATTGAAGAAGAGGGAGGGGGTTGAATTTTTTTGAAAAATTTAAACTTTTTTTTTATTTATTTTTTTTTTAATGATAAAAATGTATATTTCCACCAAAAAAATATTGAGATATCCTTTTTTGTTATTTACGAGATATTAATTAATTAATTAATTAATGTTAATAAAAAATGAAATATTTCACAAATAAATAAAGTTATTGCAATCCTGAAGGTACCAATTGAAAGCTAACGTAATTCCGCATTCAACGAGCGCTATATGAAGTATTCTGGATTAGTACATTTTTAATTAATAAATGTGTTTTGAGACCAATATAAATTATAATTAATTGAAAGTTGGACTCCTTCAATCTTAATTTATGTAATGTAATTACTGTTCATTTATGAAGTGAATACTATATTTTTCTTATACTGCGACTTTATAGGGATAACATTCAACTCATCATGAAAATAGTGTTCAAAGGTGATAAAAATACTATAAAATATAAAAAATTTCTTCTTAAAGGTAATAACATTGACAATTAAATTTCAATTTGATTCTTATAAGAATGTAGTTACATTTGGCTAAATTCATATTTCAAATTTAAATAATTAAAGTAAACAAATTTTTTTTGTCTTTTAAGTGGTCTTGTCTAAATTTTCAATCGAAATTAAAAAAGAAATTGAAAAAAATATATATAATAAGACTGTAAAACTGATAATTACTATATGGAGGCAATTTTCTCGAAACCATATTTTTCAAAGCGGGAGAATTCGTAAATACGCAGAATAGCATTCGAGAAACTATACTCTGTCCATCGAGAGTTTGCCCTCTGTCGCGCAGTTTTTTTCTTTAAGGGCGTTGAAAAACTTAAAAATGGCGTTTCACCACTTTTTTTCATCAGAAAAATAACCAATGACAATCTTTTCCATCTTATACATTTCCGCTCGGCCTTAGGCCCTCACGAGTCAAAGGGTAATTTATGATCTGTATACCTAAAAGGGACTTTCAAGTGGTAATGACTTTATAAAAAGTACAAACTTTTAAAATTTTGATCTTACAAAGTTTATAATATTATTTTTGAAATCTACATTTTATTACGATTTCAACAGTATAGTGTTATAATATAATCCGTTTATAATTTTAATATAATAATTTAGTTAATTTGTAAATATGTAACTATATATACATAATACACTTAGGACTTCTAATTTTCATTTTTACCAAAAACAGTTACGTATCATTGGAATCGTCAGAATTTACAGATTCCGAAAATAGTGTTCATAATTAATTATCTATAATATTGACAAATTTCTAATTTTTTATTCTACAGTGTCGTTACCTTGTGAAGGTTTGGATGATTGGGGATTGGATATGTGACAATTTAAACCATATGTTCAAACCAAGACTCAAATTAACATTTTTTTTTCAAAAAAGGCGGTTCTTATTTGAAAACTCCGCCAACTCTTTCACTTTTATGATGTTCTGCGCGAAAATGACGAAAACTGGTCGTTTTCCGAGGGCAAATACTCTCGATGGACAGAGTATAGTTTGAGAACATGAAGTATGAAATAGAAAAGGACATAAATATATCTTTATCCCTTCGCGATCGAAAACGACTTTCGCGAACTTATTGTGCTTTAGCCCTGTCTCAAACAGTTTTCAACCGATTATATCTTGAATCAATGGCCACAAATCTTTAAAACTAAATTTTCTATGGAATAATGTAAGATTCTTTAGATTTGTATAATAAACAAATGCATTTAAAAGAATTTACATTTCTATATATTGTTTATGAAAAAACTAAAGTTTACGAAAACATGCTATTTTACATCGACTGACGTTAATTTTTTTACTCTGTAATTAAAATGTTAAGAACACTTCTACAATTATATAAATAACATTAAAAATTGCTTTTTACAAATATGCATTTGTAAATAACCTATTATTTCTTATTTTTTTTAAATCAAATTTAAAATTTATAACTTTTTTTTATAATGTATAAAATTATAAAAAATGAAAAAAACATCCCCATGTACCCATTCAAAAATGTACATTTTTGACCAATGAATAAATGAAATAATACTTTTTTTTACCTCATACCAGGGATTAAGATTTTTTCTAGTTATGTAACTACCAGCCCATCCACCAATGTTTGGTAACAAAGTACTGGCAACTATAGGGCAATACTTTTTAACGTGTGACATTTTGAAATACTTATTTTAAACAACTACGTATCAAGAAGTGTCACGTAATATTGCAAGAAAAAGTGGGATTAGCTGGAAAACGATGACAAAGCATCTAGTTAACAGTTCATATACATACATACATACATACATACATATATATAGTAATAACTTATGTATATAGTATATAACAAGCACGTGATGAACTTTACTGTAAAAAGAGCTACTTAATTTCTACGTAATTAGGGTGAAGAGTCTTAAAAATACGCACTTAATTTTCTTTTTCGAATTAATTTTAAACTTGAAAGTAAAATTTCACAAATAAATGACCAAATTATAGTAAAATATCTCTAATAATGGATATACTATGTTAAAAGTAGAAATTTTATCATATTCTTTTCGTAAATTAAATATTTTTGAAGAAAAATCATTTGCATGCATACTCTTAGGCAGGTGATGTCTAAAAGTTTGCATGGACTAGATTATTAAAGAGAATCAACATTAATGAATAAAAAAAATGCAAAATTATTTGTTTAGGGTCAGTTGAGGTAAATGGGGACAGGAGTTGTTGGAGCTTAATTTACAGTTTTAAAATTAAGTTCAACGTCAATATTTTAACCTCAGATCACCTAAAAGAGGTTCTGAGTATTACTAAGCTTTTATCTTGACAATTGGAAGCAAGATAAAAAAAGTTATCGCTCAATGCATAAAAACTTGAAAATCGAAGTCAAACTGTTTCAGTATTTTGTCGAGCATTTCAAAGAAAACAGACTTAAAAATCATACAAATTTTTTGTCTTATTCCTTATGACTCTTATAACAAAAATTCAAGTGAACTTCTGTTATAGGAGTCATAAGGAATAAGAAAAAAATTTGGTATGATTTTTAAGTCCGTTTTTTTCAAATGCAAGACAAAATACTGTAATAAAAAAAAAAGATAAAATTAGACATAAACTAAGCAAATTTAATCAATTTATAAGAAAATTTTTAAGTTCGTCCGTCATATTACAAATTTTTTTCAAGTTTTTTCATCATTTATTACAGTAATATACTTAAGGAAACTTTTTTCTTAAACCTTTCTTATAAACTATGCTGTCCCTATTTACCCCAAATTTTATGAAATTTTCTAAATCTTGGGGTAAATAAGAATAGTCAGTTTCATGCGTTTAAAGCTTATTTAAATTTATTTTGTTGCATACAATTGATGCTGGGAATGTAAATAACAACTTAGAAAAAATAACCCCGCAAATATTACATTTTAATGGAAGAAACTTACGTAATTTGTGAAAAATAGGGATTTTGTCCCTATTTACCCTAACTGACCCTACATTATTTTAATACGCTTTTTCAACAATTTTTATTGAAGAATAGAAATTTTTTTCAAGAAAATTAAAATACAGTAGGGTATTATACTACTCTGAAACTAAAAAAAATATTTGTTTTTGTATTTTTTTCAAAAATGTCGGTCTGACAGATGATATAGCGGAGTGCTTCAAAAACGGATTGCCGTGCGGTGGGCACTATAACTCGGTCCAGAATTGAGCTAGATAAAAAAAAGCATTAGTTTCTGCAACAAAATTAAAAAAAAACTAAGAGGATCGATTGAAATTTTTGGCAGCTAGAGTTCCCACCGATTTTCCAAATGTAATTTTGTGAAAAACGCGTTTAAAGTTTTCTTAACAGCTTGGTCGTGATTAACAATGATTAAATTAAAAATTACCTGTAATCAGCTACGCCGGGTCCATATAGCATATCATCTTTATGCCTATAAGGTGTACTTTAAGCAAAAAAAATTTTTTCTGATTTTTTAAAAATTTCAAAGTGGTGTAACCCCTTAATTATAAGAAAAAAAGACGCATATCTCTAAAATAAATTTGTTAGAATTTTCATTTGATATAACTATTTAAGTTAGCTTAAATAGGTATTTCCACGAATTAAAATTATTTTGGCCAACTTTGAATGATGTTTTTTTGATTGGAATTTTAATTAATTAATTATTTTCTACAAAAAATAGATTAAAAAATAAATAAGTTTAATAATAAAACTATTTGGTTAATTAATTGTACAATATTTTAATTACTTTTGCTCGAGTTTTAAGGAAAGCACCACCCTCAATTTTGACCCACTTAAATTTAAGTTAAGTGGGTAAAAAACTCGTTATGGGGGTCATCCCGTGTGACGGACGTTTTTTTAGTGTTTTTAGGGAATTTTTTTTAAAGAACAATGAAAACTTAGAACTTCAAACTTTTTACCATATTTTAATCTGTGATGCTGTGGTTATCGCCGGAACTAGAATTATCTGAAAATATTGAAAAATGAATTTTTTGCACTGTTCTGAAATTGTTTTTCAAAAAATCATGATTTTTTGTGACTATTTTGTCGTATAAAAAAGAAACGACTTTAACTTTTTCAATAATCCTAGTTCCGGCGATGGCCACAGCATTACAGATTAAAATGCCTTTTGATTTTTTGATTTTAGTTCAGACAATCAGCCGGAATCGTGTACGCCGTTTTAAAATAATGAGTTTATTTTTTTTCTTGTTTGGTCATAAAAACATATAAAGTAGTCAATAAAATAAAAATTTTATTTTTCACCATTTTAAAATTGTTATTTTTTGAAAAAATTAAAATTTTTGAAAATCCATGCAAGAGATTCTTAAGAAATAATAACGTGTCTTAATTTCGCACAACAGAGCTACGAAAAATTCAAGAATGAGAGTAGGTCGGCGGTTAGGATATTAAATTGCATCAAAAAATCCAAATAATATTTAAAAATAAGTTTTTTTAAAAAAATGTAAAATTAAAAGACCAAGAGCAAATTTTACGACTTTATAGAAAATATTTTTTTTGCCTTAAAATTCTGGAACGGCAGAATTTAATCGCTTCTTATCCCCAGAAAAATAGCTCTTAAATCTAACTCTAAATGGCCAACATAATCATATCCAATGTACTTACTATTTACATTCCACTTATACATTTGGAAATATAACAAGTGTTCTGTGGGACCTCGTGTCTCATGGGTCTCTAGTCTCCCTTATTGCATTTAATTATTAATTTAATAATTTAAATGAATCCATAAAATTTTATTAAATCTGTTGCTGGTCACGCAGGGTAAATGCAATGATTTTTAATCAATAAATTCAGTCACATGTAATGCTTTATTTATTTTTGTCAAAACGTATTCGTTTAACAATGTCAACTTTTGTAAAAATAAACTTTTCGAAAATAAAAAAAACACGCATATCTTTATTTTCTTTAAAGAATATATATTCATCACTTCATGCAAATTAAGTTTATGCACTCCACATAAGTTTGATCTTAAAATTGAAATTCTTGATGAAAAAAACACAAATAATATTCTAAATTAATAAAACTAATACACTAAATGATATGTGTCAATATTAAACAAAACTCATATACAGAAGACAATAGGAGATCAAGACATCCAATAAAATGTGATGATTGTTGAATATAAAAATGACACTATAATTTTTTTTGAAAAATTTAAACCTATGAAAAACTTTAAATTTACTATTTAAAATATACGAGTGTGATGATTTCTGAGTGTTTTTATAAAAAGCAAGAAATTAAGAAGAAAAATTTAAATTATTTTCGATTTAGCTTTGGCGCGATCTTTGGATAATAAGAAAAAAAACCACTCATATATAGTTTGTACATTTTTCGGCTTTTATCACTACCAAAATATGTATTTTTTTTAAAGTATGTTACGTTGTTACAGTTTAAATTTTGTTTCATAATTTAGTCTCCTTTCTCTGAATGTGTTTCTTCATTTAAAACATTAACCTTCTTACGTTCTTGAACCTTCGAAGCAAAAACACTTTGTAAATGGTCTCTGAATTGATCCTGTAATTTTTGTGGAATCACCATAATTGTTGTTGTAGTATTTCCTAAAAACAATACAAGAAACATTAAACTAAGAACTGCAACGTGCCAAGTGGCTTCCGGATGCGAGGCCAGAGTATATAACGTGTAGGCATTGTAGAGTTGAAAGAAGTAGCCCACGAAAAGAAATGGTAGAAGGAACGAAAGTCCTCGCCACATCCACGAATGGAAGCCTTCTATCGTAATGTCCATGTTGTGTCTTTCACCCAATGCCTTTAATCGATAAAGAACTCCTCGTTGATAACGAAATTGAAGAAACTGAACTACACCTGTGGAAGAGCGGAAAATCATTGCTTCTGACTTGAACATAAGGGGGCACTCGCAGTTGTAACTTTCAAAAAATCGATTTTTTTTCTTGCATTTTCTTAGAGTATATGTAGTCACAAATATGTCTACAAAATTTTAAGATGATCCGGTGAAAATTCAATGAGATATACAGGCTGAAAGGGAGACGATTTGAATTGGGATTTTGGAAGCAGTTTTATCTGCTTCCAAAGAACTATTATATAGACCCGGAGTTGATGATTCTATCTGATTTCCAAAAAAAATTTCATCTTCATGAAAATGTAAGTTAAAACTTTAAACACATGTATTTAAAAATACATTTTTGAAGTCGGTGACCACCCTGACTTAAAAACTACTGAACCGATTGTCTTGAAATTTAACATACTTTTTAAATACACAATAATCTAGTCTTTAATAGAAGGATTAAATCCTTCAATTAAATACTAAATAATCTTTCAATAAATGTAAATCCATTTCAGTTTTTGATTTCAGACGAACCAGATTCCCATATTGTTGGTCACCGCAAACCATGTTTTTCGGAAAGACGTCACTTCGACAGGACATAACTTTGGAACTATATAATATTTTTAACTTTTTTTTAAAATTAAAGTTTAAATTATGTACTTTTAGATAATAAATCGATATTTTGAGAAGATTTAATGGTTTACGAGAAAAAATTCATGAAAAATGTCTATTTTTGGCGCTACAACTGCGAGTGCCCCCATAAACTCAAAATTTTTAAAAGATAATAGAAATGTTGTGATAAGAATACATTTTTAAAAACTCCCGTAAAATGGAGTAAAGTCGGCGATGTTTTTTGTTTTCTTAAAAAAATAAGAAAAACATAAAATACAACTTTAATACTTTTAATATATAAAGTTTCACTTCTATTCTTTAATATCATTACATAAAAAAATTTATTTATTTTTCAGAAAAATATTTATATGCCCTTTTATTGTCGCCGACTTTGCCCTGAAATGCGGGGTTAAGTCGTCAATCATTTAAAAAATAGTCATTGACAAACCAAGAATATTAGTTTAATTAAGTAAAGTTAATTTTTGAAAGTAGTGGATATGAAAAAGTCAAAATGAACATCTAATAACAATTAAATAAATATTTAATAGCATTTTGCATTGTATGAATGCCTAACCTCTAGTACATTGAGGTTAAAATTTATTTTTGATATAAGTATTTATATTTATTTATATAAGTATAAAGTAGAAAAGGAAAGTAATGTAATTTTGTTTAGTTTTTTACTGTGGACGACTTTTCCCCGAATTCAATAATATTTGTAAATGAATGTTTTTTAAAGTTGTTTATTTTACGACAATTTATCTTTTTGGTAAATCATTCCAGGGATGTTTCAAATACGGTGTTCAATCGGATTTGTCATAAAAAATTTTAATAGAGCTCTAAAATCATGTTTTCAAAACTATTTAGTAAAAAATGTAAAATGAATATTTGTATAAAACACATATTTGACTAAAATTATCCACTGAATATGAATGAAACAAATGTCGAAGTAATGTTTGACGTCCATACAAACCAAAGTAATCATAATTAAAGAATTTTTTTCTTAGAAAAGATAAAAAGAAATTTTTAAAATTAATTTGTAATAATCGCCGTCTTTATCCCATTTTACGGTACTCAACAATATTATTTGGCCTATTTTTACCATTTGTAAAGAAAAACTTACTAATATATACATTAAACCACATAAATTGACCCCGGAAAGAATACCAAGCTCCAGTATTAGGCCAAACTAAAAGGACGCCTGACACTACAGTTGATAAAAAATGATGAAAGCGCCACCACCCTTTGATCCTTGATCCATTAACTTTAAGTATACTCTCTCTTATTGTCAAAGTGCAGTAGTACCAGACTAGTAAAAACATGAAACTTAACTCCAAAGTCCTGAAATTGTTTTTCTCCTATTATTACGGTATAAACTTCACAATTATATTGGATGAGTATTCAAAAAGCATATGTACACGATATATACAAATATTATTAGATACCTTATACTAGTGAGGAGATTTATGACTGATAGAACAAAACCAATAACAGACAGTACAAGTTTAAATTTCTCGTATTCGTCTTTATATTTGAATCTGTAACGAAACATAATTATTATTCATTTTATCAATTTAATGGTCATCAATAGATAATAAATAACATGAGGGACAAAAATTGAATGCAATAATTATAATTCTCTTCATTCAAGTAGATTTCGTCTTCTAAAAAGAAATGTCAAATGAAATAATATTCTCATATTCAAAAATGAATCTCATTAATCGACATTCCGGTACTCAATTTTACTTATAAGTATTGAATGAACATGAAAAATAAATAAAGAATAAATTGAATTTTTAAAGTTAAACTTACTTATCGTTTTTGTTCAATATTGAAACATTTACGTTTCCTAAAATAATTTTCAGATAAGTACCATTTGGTTTTGGTAACGTTTGTTCCATGTCATGTAACTGTTGATCACGTTTCATCATGTCTTTATCCAAAACTTCTCGAGTTTCACTTGCCTGTAAACTTTTTTTTACTATTCATTAGGATAACAGTTTTCTTTAAAGATTTCTTATAAAGTTGATTAATAAATATTTTTATACAACGTACGCTTTAAGAGATTTTGAAATGACGCCCATTCGATATTTCTGGTGCGATATTCCTTTTAAACATTTCGATTGAAGTTCAACAACTTGTTCCAACTTTGAAAGATATTCCCTATTTAATGCCTGTAATAGAATATTTAAATTTCAGTCTTCATTGATTATATAACAGAATTATTTAATATCATTTTCTATGGAAGAATTTTTATTTAAACAAATATGTACTATACTAAATCATAATTTAACGAAAGCGTTTAAATTTTCATTTTTCTATTTAATCAAATTATTATTTAACAGAATTTGCTGTTGACAGAAAGTTGATTTAATCGAATTGTCATTTTACTGAAATTCCCATTGAACTCAATTTTATTCAACCAAATTTTTTAAAAATAGAAAAAGACAAAACTTTTAATTCCAACCCTTTCAATATAAATTTAGTTCTATTAAATCCATATAATTATGTTATTAAAAAAAATGTTGCCCAACTAAAACTCTTTGCAAATATCATTTTCAAACAATTCCAGTGCGGGTAAACGGCGGGAGTAACTATGAATATGAACGAAAATCATTTGAGACGCGAGTAAGCATTCCGGTAATTCCCCGCAACACATGAAGAGATTGAACAGGCATAGCAGAATGCCTTTCGGAATTGCAGTCAGTCCCATACCCGTCAAACCATCAGGTCCTGCGACGGTCCTAATTGACAGTTTATGTTGTTCAACCTCTTCAACGATGATAGGAGAGAAGAGCTCTACTAGCTTAACCTCAGGAATATACAACATTGGCTTAGAATTGGATGCTTGCGTAAAAACGCCCTTCGAGAAGGTCTCCTTTACCTCTCTGGGAGGCTGAGTGGAATTTGCGATGCTATTAACAAAGGAGTCAATGCATTTCTTCCTATTCTTAGCCCACATAACCTGAGTTGCAACATACTCGCAACGACGTTGTTCTCTTCGAGATAGTGTTCGCTTCCTGGAAAGTGACATTCCTCTTACAGGTGCCCGAGCAGCTAACAGAATGGATAAGAGGTAAAGAGCAACTCTACCCAATGTTACAAACATGCGGGTTTTCTCTTCGGTCCATCACTTATACTCCACAGGAGCAAGACTCTCGGCGTTAGTTGGAGTAAAATTTAAATTGATTTAAAAAATTTTCAAGGTAAATAGAAATTTAAGAAGAATTTAATTTTTTTAAGACACTTTGATTTTTAACCCATGAACATTAGGGTGTCCCCCCCCGTTCGGTTCCAATATAAAAAAAAAAATTTCTGCCAAATCCCAGACCAATTGATTAACCTGTGCCACTAATGAATCGCAATTTCCCACTGGAAGTACACGGGAAAAGAGCACTTTATCAAAAAATATTCAGAACTTTTTCAATTATTGAGTTAAAAATGTTTACCTACTCTTTAAGTTGGTATATTTAACAAAATTAAATATTCAAAAATCTCAAAATGGCGGATAATTAAATATAGGTTTTAAAAAAGGATTGCAATGTAACGAATTATTTATCACATAAATATTTAAAATAATTCAACAAATCTTCATAATTGGGGATTTTTTAATTTCTAGTCAAGAATTGTATTTCAAAATTTAAGTTTTCAAAAATCTATATTCAACATGTCAGACAAAAAATGTTACCTATCCACATTTTTGAAACAAACGTCCTGGATCATCGTGATGAAGGTTTGTTTCAAAAATGTGGAAAGGCAAAATTTCTTTTCCCCAATATTGAATCAAAAAATTTGAAATCCGATTCTTGACTAGACTCAAAAACCCCAAGTATGAAGATTTCTTGAATTATTTTGAATATTTGAGCAATTCCATGTGAGATTGAGGGGTCTATCCTCCGATTCCATCTGTACTACGTTTATGGGTAGAGGTTACGGGTCTAATTGAGGGGGGAAACTTGTGTGAATGCACGATTTTTCAGGAATTTAAAAAAAACTGGTAAAGTTTATTGAATTAAAGTAAAGCATACCTTAAAGTACACAATATAAGCTTTATAAAAAAAAATTTTTTTTTTATATATTAAAAAATGGCGGTGTTACAGGCGTTTGAAGTTGCATGTTTGATTTTGTGCCGTGCAGCCTACAGGTCACAAATATCAACTAAAATCAAAAATTTTACCGTTAAAATACGCAAATACGCTTTGCATGACGATGAGAAAACTAAAAAATTTTTTTTTTTTTGAAAATTTGGGACCATTTGGAAAAAAATAATTTTTTTTATAAACAATGTTCAAAAACAATTGTTAAAAAATTTTTTTTAAAAAAAGGAGCTCGTCATGCAATAGCCAGTAAGATAAAGAAGATTTATGGTAAGTTTGATTAAAATCGGTTAAAAATTAGCTGAGCTACATTGCACGGCGCGCGAAAAAACACGTTTCGAGAAAAACGCGTTTAAAGTTTTCGATACATAAAAGTAGTGTTTTAACTATTGTTTTGAAGACTTATGGTTGCTTATGGCTTATGGCTTATGGTGCTTGCTAATGACAATTAATAAAATTATATTGCTTAGAAACCGAAAGAGTAGAGAGAACTCGTGCACATCGTTAACTGCATTTGATAGCATGTGAAGTGCTAAACTTATGTTTACTATAGAAATTCATACATCTAATTATAGATTAGTAATGTAGGATCATATTCTACAGATAATAAACTAATTTTTAAAGCAAAAAAAAATTATAAACATTTTTTTTGCAACACTAACCTCTAAAGTTAAATTTTACACACCGAAAGTGTGTGTAAAGAAGCTCTTTTTAAAGTGATTCACTTTACACAAAATTAAAAAAAGAACTACTTTTAAATTTATATACTGCTGCTTAATGATATTTGTCCTGATCTTCGATTGATTTATTTAATTCTATACAATCGAAATTTTTCTAATAGAGTTGGAATTCTTCATAACAGACACCCGTTTCATAATCAAAAAAATAAAATCCGGTTTTCATATCATTCAACTTTAAATGCTGTTATTTCGAAACTTTATTTTTGAAGTTGGTAGTCACGATTTCTCAAAAACTAATTCATCGATTTTTTATGAGACTGAAGTTACCAACGTTGATTCGAAGAAAATTTTCTTTTATTTTAAACAACATAACAATATCTCTAACGATGCCAAACATTATTTTACCATTTTCTACACCCCAAAAACATTATTCAGCCCAAAGGAAGTAAAAAAAACAGTGACTCATTAAAAAAATATGCATTACATATTATACGGGAGGTCAGTGATACCCAACCTAAAAGTGTTAAACAATTATAATTTTTTAAATTTCGAGCTCTAAAATTAATTAATTAATTTTAGGATGGGAATTACTGTTCTCCTTGAGTCGAATGGGGTAATTTTGTTTTTGGGGGTGTAGTATGGACCAAAATAAACAATTTTCATTAATAAAAACGTGCTTCCAGGTTTTCGAGTTTGTAACAAAGTGTAAGTTGCTTATAATGTGTAATACATATTTTTTTATTGAGAGTCAATTTTTTTTTCTTCCAGTGGGCTGAATAATATATTAAACTTTGAAATATTTTAGTCTTTTATTTTTGAAATAGCATAACTTTTTATCAATGTTAGCTATTAATCTCAATTTTTTTAAATGTTCGTAGAAAGCCAAACTTTTTAATAAAAATTTTTTCACCAAAAATTAATTTAAGGGGTTTCCTAAATTTTTTTGGTCAAAAAATTCGAATTTTTTTTTTTTCATGTTTTGATAGGAAAGTATGTTAAGAATGTGAGGTTAAATCATTAGATCGTAATTCGCTCATAATCTTAAGTTATTTAACAAAATACATATATATATATGCGTCTACAGATCGTATAATTAACCCTTTCGTGCCCACGATAAACCGAGCTAATGGATTTGCTTGAAATTCGTTACTCGGGGGTTATTGGGGTCTCTGATTACGAATTTAATGTAAGATTTTAAAAATTCAAAATGGCGGATCCAATATGGCTGACAAGTTTTTTAAAAAGTGTTTAGATTGGCTCGAAATGTCCTACTCGGGGGTTTATGGGGTCGCTGATTACGAATCCGGTGTCCATTTTTTAAATTTCAAAATGGCGGATCCAATATGGCGGACGAGTTTTTTAAAAAATGCTTGGATTTGCTTGAAATTTATTACTTGGGGGTTTCTGAGGTCGATGATTACAAATCTGAAGTCATATTTTAAAAATTCAAAATGGCCGATCCAAGATGGCGGACAAATTTAAAAAATGCTTGGATTGGCTCAAAATTCTTACTTAAAGGGTTTATGGGGTCGCTGATTACGAATATGATGACAGAATTCGAAAATTCAAATATAAAAAAGGTTTTTTGGTTTGCTGATAATAAACCCGACATGGTCATGGACCCAGTACGGACAATTCATCATATTCATATCATTTCATCATTTTCGAGCAAATCCGATTAGTTTTAAATTTTTCGTCCGACATATTGGATCCGCCATTTTGAATTTTTAAATTCTGACATCATATTCGTAATCAGCGACCTCAAAAACTCCCGAGTACCAAGTTTCGAGTAAATGCAATTGATTTTTTACTTTAATGTCCGCCATATTGGATCCGCCATTTTGAATTTTTAAAATCTGACATCATATTTGTAATCAGCGACCCCAAAAACCCCTGAGTAAGAATTTTCAAGCTGATTTAGTTACTTCTGCTTGACTCATTATAACCTTTTGATATCAAAACTGTAAACGCTTTTTTCTCAAAACACTATATTTAAAAATGGTAACCAGTAGAACTCAAAAACCGTTTGACCGATTTCAAAAATTCAAGTTGCATTCGATTCAGTGGAAGTTTTTGCAGGTCCTAAACCTCTAATATATTTAAAATATTCAATAATCAGGTTTTTGTGAGTGATTGATTGTTAAAAAAATGGTGTTTTTTCAGTTTCTAGGGTTCCAAAGCTTGCCATTTTCTTAATTTTTGATTTTTTTTAATATCTCGAGGTTTAGGACCTGTATTATGTCTTTAACTTTAAAATCGTGTTTGATTTTTTTATTTTAGATGATTCTGCGATGAGCTACAGTGGTTACCGTAAAGGACCTTGATTTTGACCAGTGTACATAGCGACCTCTGTAGAAGGAGCACAATAATATTTTTTAAGATTGCAATTTTTTTTTA